GCTGAAGTACCAAACTTCTTTTCCTACTCCCATGTACTTTAGATCAGCTGATTTACAAAAGGTCTGCGTGTTGTCACTGATTGATAAAGCAAGGCAATGGACTACATAAGTCTGTTTTCTCATGGAAAGACTGTTTCTATCCTAATGCCATGGGTGTGAGACAATCCTTCCTTAAGGCTCTCATGGCAGAAAAAAAAAAAAAAAAATCAAAGTGGTGGAATCTACCATGGCAAAGAATTCAGAAATCACACATGTTCATAATAAATGCACAGGCAATACAACAAAGTCTTGGAAATAAATTTTGAGCAAAATACTGTTTAAAATAAGAATGGCTAGCAAAACAATTAAAAAAATTTAGGTTCCTATCACTGCAGAAGGTAAACTGGACACCCATTAGTAGCCAATGAGAAAAGGGAAATCACCATTGCTTAAAGAGTTACTAAGATCTGTTATGTAAATCAGGAAATAAATAACTTGGCACAAAAGCCAGCTGTGGCAAAGATGATACTGCTTGATAATCAAAACTCTCTTGTGACTCACTACTGCCAGGTCACATGAGGAAATTAAAATCTCTCCTTCTATATCCTGCTATCTAGTCTACACTTTAACCCTGTGAACTGCAAAGGGACTGTGGAAATTCCAAGCGAAGGATCTCTCCTATGGGTAGCAGAAAAGCGTAAGGAAATTTGCCATGACAGTAGGTACCTGTGGCCTCTTTACGAGTGACCCCCAGCCAACTAACGCGCTTTTAAGAAGGAAAAAATTCTGGAGAGATTCTGAACACATGCAGTTGCAATTGCAAACATCAGGGAAAAGATGGAGGTATTATAAGGTCAGTTAAATATTTTGGCAACCAAAGACTGTTTCATTTAAAGAGATACTGATTTTCTTTTCTCCAGCAATTATTGATGGCATGTAGTTACCCAAATGAAGTGCACTTTATGTTGTATAAACAACAACCATGCCCTTTATCTTCTTATTTCTTTATTTAAAAGATACTGGCCAGCCCTGGCACTAAATTTGCATTGAGAAATCCTGGACAATAGTACTGCAAATGTGGTATGTGAAGATTTAGAAAGATGTCAGCAAAGTGCTACACTTGTTACAGGTTTTAGGGTCTCTGTCTCATCATTAGTGAGTGACATGGGTCTTCCCTTTTTTTCTTTTTTTAACCTAGAAGTTAGGTTCTGAAACACACCTGTGTAGAAACACCACACCAAACAGCTAACTAGCAGCATTACAAAAAAGTATTTAGGCTCAGATACTACCAAATGGACTCACAAAAACATCCTCTAAACTTTACTCCTCTTGGGTGAAGAATGACTGTATCACACATTTATTGCTAGTGCATATCAATAGTAGTCATTTACACTCAACATGGTACAGCAAGTAGTAGAGCTGTGGGGCTGAAAAAAAAGCTGTATTTTGGGAGAGATTAATCAGGCAAGGGAACTCAGCTGTTGCCTGGGTCGGTATGTTCTGCACTGAGGTTACAGCTTACAGCTTTGCAAAAGACTGCAAATCATGGACCAGTCCTAAATATCTTTGTCCAATTTGTACTCAATTACCTGTGAAGTTTTGTGCTTTCAGATGTAGGTCATAGAGCTTATGAATATAGCGAATATACATCTCTTCCTTGTTCAGTTCAGTCTTGTAAAAATTCTGCAATAAAGTTGAATTTTGGAATGAAATTTAGTAGTTAATAAATCTATAATAGTGGTTAAAAACAAAAGACTTCAAACATAATGCTCTAGGAATACCTTCAGAGATTTGAAAGTTTCACATGTACAAAGTCATTACACAGAACTGCAGTAATACAGTAAGAAATAGTAAATAAACAGCAAATTTTCAGTAGACAAGTCAATATGCTTCTGAATGATTTTTTTGTTTAAATTCTCATAGAACATAAGAGGAAGAACCTGACAGAACTGAAATCTGATGGTCTTTCTCTATAAATACTAATCCATCCAAAAAGTGCACCTATGTATCCTTACTTAGGGCATTTAACATCTTGCTGAAAGCTATATGTTGATTTTAAATTACTGACAGCACTCTGATGTTTGTATTAACATTTTAACCAAATATCTACTGCCTGATATGTCTACTCTTCCGTCTGTCACAGCAAAATGCCAAAAGGCCTTTGGTAGCTTTACAAAGAACCATTCAGTATTGTAAACAGCATAATCCTGAATGAAAAATGATTTCTTCAGCCCTAACTGATGCTGGGAATTGGTAACTGATGCATTAATATTGCATTGCATGAGTGAAATACACAAAGTTGCACTCTAAAGTGATATCCAGGACAAAATTTCTAGAAGTGGCTAAAGATTTCTCGACATATAACTGCTGTTTGTTGTTACACGGACAAAATACGGAATGCAACAGCAAAACCCTTAGCTCAAAACATTAATTATTTATTTGTAAGCCCTAAAACAAAGTATGAAAAAGTTATAGGGAGAGAAGCACAACCCTATAGCACTGTTCGCAAGTGTTGCCATACTCACTATAGACATGCAGCTAGAGTCCCTCTGCTAGCCATACTTAACGTTCAGGATAATCTACTTTGGTTAATAAAATGCATAGAAAAGCAGAATCTAGCAGTGGTCCCCATTAGCAATTAACAATTTCTGTTCTATTACTCAAATCACTTACTATTTTGAACTCTAAGCAAGTGGCCAAAAATTTTTCCTTTATTGTACAGCATTCTTATTCTGGGCCACTGTTTCCTAAATTGAGTTATTATCAAAGAGAAAGGTGGGAGGAACATTATGAAAATATCAAAATAAAAACTTTGTAGAGAAAAGTTTTTTTCTTAACTGTCTTGAGAAAATGACTACATATCAATAGCTCCGTAATGCCATGCCCCCCCTTAAGCCACCATCCACCTTTATTCTCTTTTCCTCCCACAAGGTGTAGATCAGGAACAGATGCTTCTTTTTAAAAGAGAAAATGAAAAAATATCTGTTTGCATGTTCATATTTACCTGTCTGAAAAGAAAACATAATCTACAATACAGAATTGTGAGCAATAAAGCCTAAAGATTAAGACAAAATACAGCACTGAACTGCAGTACTAGACTTCTTGGCTCTTACCCCTAAGCACTAAAGGCTCCAGTACTTGTCATGAGTCTAAACTACACAAATCAACTGGTTCTTCTCTGAAGCTCAGCTCTGACAACGTCCAGTTGGTCTGTAAGGCAGACCACAGCAAGACAACCCAGTCACAGCTCAGGAATACATCATGCTAATAAAGGTGTCGTGATTTTTCAACAAACTATTTCAGCATATAAAATATTACAGATGTAGCCTTCAAAAGGAGACATGATGTAAAAAGTAGACTTCCCTAACTAATAAAGACTTTTTTTTCCTATGGAAAAACAGCTGGAAAACAATGTTGAAACAGGCAGTGTGGACATGTGCTACTTAAATGGTATGATGTCATATGCCAGCGTGGAGCATCACAGGAATACATCCTCTTTCTAAAAAGAAGATACAATTTTAAATGAATAGAACCTGAAATATCAATTAAATATCAAACCCCAATGAGGACCAGAGTTGCCTGAGGAAAATTCCTCAGTGAGTTACTAAAAGTTATTTAATATACTTTCAATGCTTTTGTACAGCTCTGTGATGATAGAGTTCTTTCATTAGAAATTCAACTTTCAAATTGGAGTTGGGTGATTCTTATGCATAAGAATACTTTGGTGAAGTTTATCCAGTAGGAAGAGACTGAAAACTGAATAAAGCAGTATTAGAGATCTCTCAGAGCCCAACTATAAAATGCCAAGGAAGACTAACTCCATTAGAGACCTCTTAAACCAGCTTTTCCAAACAAGCATTACCAATATGAAACCTACCTCAGATGATCCAGAGGGTGGGGAGAGTAGAAAAAAAGTTCCTAACTTCTCCTTTCATCTAAGTTATTGCTGCTGGTGCATACCCCTTCTGCATATTTCATGATGGGGAATAATTCCCGTTAATTTGATAACTTGGTTAACTTGGTCAATTCTATTTTCTGGAAGAACAGCGTATACCTCTATGGCAAAACAATGTAAAAATTCTTTTTTCAGGCCAACCAGTGCTCTTATCTTCAAAGTAGTGTTCAAAAATGAAATATTGCTTCCTTCTCTGGACTTCAAATAACTTTAACATTATACATTGCTCTACTTACTTGTTGCATGAAACATCTTTTGAGATGACAGCCAGTTCATCCATCATATGGGCAAGCAAATGTCTTAAAATTTGTGTGCTACTTCTGTAATTGAAATTTCCTTTTCAAAATTTAGCATTTGTTGTTTCTCTAGTGTGCAAATAGTATTAAAATTTGTCTGAAAATTATTAGGATAGATATGAAATCCGCCTTAGCCCATACAAGTCATTGAAAATCCCATTAAAATGTATTATGGTGTTTGGGGTTTTTTAAATATTTGAATTTTCTTTTCGTGCAAATCTTGGATGATTTGCTAATAATAGTTTAAAAACTCCTTAGAGATAGGACAAAAATAATCCAGGTGCTTTACAGAATTCAGATCATGCCAGATATTCCAACAGACAACCAGCTGCTCTACGGCTACATAGTAAACATCATCCCTGTTTAGAGAGCACTATTTTCCTACTGAAGAAACCCTTTATTCTCTTATGTATAACTGCTACTTAGAAGTGATACCAAATTGTTTCACTGACGTCAAAAATGCAGAATTACAAGTCAGCTTATTCTGTTTTTTCCCTTGGCTAAAAATACAGCTTTCCAAAACATTCACCATGAAAATGGAAACTTTCCAAGGTTAACGGAAGTCAACAAACTTGTCAGTGGAAACTCGCCTAGAACCAAAATGCATCTTGTAAACAAAAATGAAATCTTTTTCATACTATGAATTTGCACCGTTGGTTTGTGGTAATGATGATAACATGACAACAGGAGGTCTTGAGCAGCATTTCTGGCTCTTCTACTGGGAAGAGAATAGATAGCCTGCAGTCTTTAGAAGATATCTGATATTATATGTCATAAGAACCAACTTGCATCAGGTATTGGGGAAGAAAGGAAACAGGAGAAATCAGGCAAGTTTTGTTGGGTTTGGGGAAGGAGGAAAGGCTTGTTTGTTTCTATGAACTCAGAGACCAACTCAACTTGGAAAATACTTTGGTGAAGTTTATCCAGTAGGAAGAGACTGAAAACTGAATAAAGCAGTATTAGAGATCTCTCAGAGCCTGACTATAAAATGCCAAGGAAGACTAACTCTGCACTCTATCAGTTTCACCCAGAAAAAAATAAGTATCAGTGATCCTAAGTGCAGTAGTATCTGTCACCTTCCACTCAAACTGCATCAAGAAGCAAGGTACCTCCTATTCAAATGTGTGGCTGTATACTAGAAAATGCTCAACTGAAAAAGGGAAAGAAAAAGTAGTATACAAACCAAAAGGCTAACAGTGCAGCCAATCTTTTTGCCATCCACTTCTCCCATTTTCATGCAGTCCCTAAAACAGAAAGTAATGAAAGTCAAAAGGAATAACGTTTATCCTCTTACACCAAAGCACACCTCAGAAAACAGACATATTTGCCTCGGCAAGCTGACTGAAATGATGCAACCCAAAGGCATTTGGGTGAACAGTTGACCTAGGTGTGTAAGGGTCCTCTTCTAGGACATGGAATATCTCAATCGTCAAGAAAGTCAGTGGGTTTTTTCAGGCTGTGACATTGATTTGCTAGGTGACTGCCGGAGATCATTTGGTTTCTTCATACCTTGTGCTCAATTCATGCCAGCATGGCGGTCAGAAGCCAGGCCCGCTCCCCTCCTGCTCTCAGGCACTCATTCCCAGTCCTGCCCTGCTGCCTGCACAAACCTCAGGAAGAGACACAGGTTGGGCAGCCTCTTTTCCTGGGTTAATTTTAGCCCGTGTCAGTTAGATCACCACGGTGCAGCACAAACACTTGTGTTGGCACAAGGAAGAGGGTGCTGTGAATGAGGGGACAAGCAGGGATGAATTTGCTTTCTTCAGAGCCAGTGTACATCTAAAGTGGTCATGGAATTACCGCAGTAGTTCCTCCTCTGAAAAAACAAAATGACGCTGATCTCCTCTGTAAAATGCTCTGAGATCCACTAAATTTTCCTCAGTAGCACTTTTGTAATTAGGGTCATTTATTGTTCGGGGAAGCAACAGATCTGACCCCCAAGTCAAACGTTAAAGTGGAACCACGTAGAGTTTCATATCACATAGGGAAAAATAGTCAGTGTAACCATGCTGGAGTAAAAAAACATAACAGGCAGACATCACCATGCAGTCACTAAAAGAAATTTAACATAACTTTAAAACATTTTTGCATACATGAGCTAAACAATCATCCCAAATGCTCTTATAACTACCAGTATACACAATAGTTTTGAAAGGTTGAGAGCCTTGGAGGTTCTAATCCAACCGATCCCTTAAGAGAAATAGCACTGCCAGGCTTCTAGAAATTAACAGTTCAGTCTCTTTGTTGACGAAATAGCTTTCCTTTCAAACTATTGGTGACGATGGCAAGTGGAGTACCAGGTCTCACCATGCGTTCCTATGGAATCAGAGAAAACACCTAACACTTAAGCTCTATAAAGTGCTACAACTAATGGCAATGATGAGGACTACGCTGAAATCTGAAGTTTCGACACGGGCTTCACAACTGACTGAGAAAATCCCTTTGAGTCTCCCACTCCTGAAAGGGAGCATACGTCTCTCCTTTCTCTCTCCTTTGTTCATGCGGTACAGTCAGATGTGAGCTCCTCACCCAGAGATCGTATCTTTGTACACATACATACTACGCCGGCTGACACTACAACTAAGCATGATTGACACAGTCATAAGAATTTTACATATTCTGTAAAACAACTGTCAGCTGATTAGTACTGAGCTCTGTGTCTTCAGACAGACTTGAGTCACTAACCTACTGACGAAAGTTTCTGTATTCCTCGATAGCAAACTCGTGCACGCCACTGGGTTTGCATACCCTGGGGAGGCTACTTGGTTGGTTTTCAGCCTGCTTGTCTCATTTTCCTCTCGATTAACATCTGCGGTCAGACATCCTGAGCATGTACAGGTGATGTGTCCATGTGCAGTCACCGTTTGCGCAAGATCACCGTATTTTCCTCCTAATATTTCAAAGATGACAACCCTCCTTATAAATCACGCACCTGTAGTCCAGTAACCTCTCCATGAGGCGAGTCACAGTGGCGATTAACGAAACGCCACTTTCCCTCCATGTTTCCCGCTCAATTTTCTTCAGGAGACTGAAAAAAAATGAAAAAAGAAGCCAGAACAATTTCACCGTTTATTTTTAACTGTCACTATGACAACCAGTCTGCTTTTACCAGTACCTCAATACCTTAGCAACATCTTCGGTAGTTAGATTTTCTTTTACAAACACCCTCCCAAGAAGCACAATTTGCAAACAATGTCTTACCTAGGATAAGGACCAAAAAGTGGAATTCTAGTCCAGGAAGCATTGACAAAACAAATGATTTTTATATTAGCTGCATCAGGTTAAAATATATCAAATACCTAATTTTCAGAATATATTAATATCCCAAAGACTTAACAGAACTCTTACATAAAATTTATATATTAATTTCATGCTGATACATCACAAAACGGGGAATTCAAAGATGTGCCTAGAAAAGAACATTTATCAACTCAATATACCTTCTCACTGGGACCTCAACTTTTTTAACAAAGATTTTTCCTCCTCTCCTGTCTAATATTTCAGTACGTGTGAAATTTAAGAATGGGGAAGAGATTTTAGTAAGATGATTCCCCCTCTTCACTTAATATCTCCTTCTGAGAACATACTATCATGCACACGTAAAATTCCATTAGCTTCAATTGTCATAAGATTCTTTATTAAAAACTGCTGTGTTGAGTTCTGACACTAATGTAAATGCAGATTACACATTGAAGTGAAAAGATTTCAAAATGGTGTTGTAAGTGGAGCTGTCAGTAAAATTATACTTAATATTTCTTTCTGTTACAGGTCTCTGATTTTCACTGCTTCGGTTTATCAAATATTAATCATTTGTGCATGAACTTCCCACATTTCCTCTCTGAGAATGAACAAGGAAATATTTATCTACAGAGTTGTGTTACTTTTATGCTTTGGTGCAGGACCTCAGATGGATGACATGGCCTTGGAAGTATTTTAGCAGTCTCCCTGAAAATGCACACAGGTATGGTTTACTTTGAAGTTTCTGAAAATTAACCCATCCGTATAGTTAAGAGCTTTTTAGAAAGTTGTTAATAGCATCTCCAAACCTTCTGTCTGCAGTGGGCAAGCTGTCAGCTCCACTGACCTTCATCTTTACTGAGCATGTTCAGTCCCATAAAACTCCTACGCCCAAATTTCACCAAACAGATAACAGCACCCAATAACTCCTACATGCCAACTGCACTAGCTATCCACTCCAGCTCTGTTCAACTCCTTACGTACAGGAGGATGGCACAGATGCAATTCTCCAAACTAATTCCACCCAAATGAAGCTGTGCTCTGCTGGAAGCAAGAAGGAAACATTGATCTTCGTTCGTCACCCTTATATCGATCTTAAGACTCCCTTCTTCTCTTTAGGAGGCAATCAGATGGCTTTCCTTCACCTTCAGAGACTGGCTACCTGTCATTGCCAGCAGAGACAGATGACCAGAAGAGGCTGAAGCACTAATCTGCCATCTCTGCTTTCCATACAGAATACACAGGCTAACTTAATTTACTTTTAAACCCCTTACATTCCTTTCAATACAGGTTTTTGTGTCTAACAAGAAATAAGAGTAGAGCCTGTTACATTATTAAGCCCTGATTACTGCCCTGATTTTTCCTTTCAACCCTGTGTTAAACAGGAACATTTCAACCTAAATTCATCAAAATAATTACCTACAGTTCCTGTAGAAAAACAGCAGAAGTCTGACTTCTCTTTTACAACAGATGGTTTTCATCTGCATTTGACTTATGCATGTTCCTTACAAATGTATTGGCATATTCATTATAAATACACAATTTGTACAAATGGGTTGTGTAGATACTTTCAAAGTACTTATTCGAACTGACATCAATGTCGTCAGCTGAACAATTTTATGACTTGCCTTCTGATGCATGCCTCCCTCTCTGCACCATACATCTTTCACCACAATGCACAGAACAAACACTCAGAATGAAAGAGCTACTGAAATGTATCCTTCTGCTTCCTCATGGCTATATCTCGATAGAATTAAATTCCTCTTACTTACAGGTCCCAAAGCATAGCCAAGATGCTGTGTTCTACAAAGCACTAAGGGGGATAAACGACACAGAGAAACAATGAAAACACTGCTGCCTATCCATGCTACTATAGCCTAACATCTGGGCTCACTCGAGCAATTGTGGTTTAGTTTTTTATGGTTTGTTTTTTTGGGTTTTGTTTTGGTTTTGGTTTGTTTTGTTTTTTTTTAATTTTGGGTTACCAAGAATAAGAGAGTGGGGACCCAGAGGATCAGAGCTCTCCAGGGATGAATGCCAGGCTTAGAACCATGTTCAGGCTAGCTCGATCATGTAGTAAATGGATTTTATATGCCTAAGCCACAGAGTTATTCAGACCGCTAAGTCCCAGACATCTAATCCTGGAGGTGCCTTAAAAACATCTGGATGTCTGTTTTGGAGTACAAAGTCCTCCAGGTACCTCACTACAGCCAGAGGTTCCCTCATCCAGTCAGATGGGTCAAAGTCAAACTTTGGTGCAAATGTTCAGAGATGAGTGAGGAGCTACCCAAACCTCACAAAAATATTCAGAAGAGCTCTGAAAGACTCAGTCCAGACAGAGTCTAATGCACTGGGCAGTGCTGAAATCAGTCATGCAACTGGGGGAAGAAACTAAGAAGACTGAAGACAGCATGGGAGAGGTAGCAGTCATCACTTTTTATATAATAACTTCACGGCTACAGAAATCACCCACAAACTGGCAGAGCTTGCTATTAAATGCCTGCTCAGCTTGAACCTCAGCTCCAATTTCTTCAAAGAGAAGCCTCGTCGTCAGACCCTCAGTGAAGCCCAGGTTTTGTGCCTCAATAATGTGGCCACCAAACCTCCCAACCTGAAACAGTTCGTGTTAAGCCAAACCAGAATACAGCTACCAAAGTAATAAACTGGCAGCATCCATCGGATTCAGAACAAAAGAGCTACCTGAGCATATCCCTTGGCTTCCAAGGATTTTGTTCTAACCATCAACTCTTTAATAAAGTGAAATCATTTTTTCCCCTGTGCTAATCAACTCAGGAATCCAATTGCAGTGTTACAGTGTAAATGTAGACCAGGACACCTATCATACCATGATTACACCGGGTAACAACTACAATATCTAGTTTCTCATGATAGCAAAATGTTCACTACTCCATGCTTTGCAGCTCTTCAAATGACAGCAGGAGCTAATCACTGAGTGGTCACATTCAAGTCCCTAGAAAGACATTGATTCAAAACAAACAGCAGTTGTCTTCCCCTACTTTCCCTATGTCTTTTCATTTGATAAAGATAATTCCATTATAAGCAGTAAATTCTAAGCACGTAATATTTTAGATATGTCCAGAGATGCTTATAATTTGTCCTTGAAAATAGAAGATGTTCAGAGGAAAGATGCAGCGATTGTCTCGTGGAAAAAAAAAAAAAAAGTAGTTAATGTGGGAGTTGAGAGATTTAAATTCATTTTCCAATTCAGACAAAATAAACAAAAAGCATGACAAAACCTCAAAGTGTCACAGCCACTGCAGTTACTAAACAGTATCCAAAGTAGCTGTGTGCATCCCCTTGGCTCCCAACTGTACCTATCAAAACTGACCATGCCAAATCTTCAGAAAGATCCGGTAATATTGTAGCATTAAAGACTATTTTGCTTGCTGCAAAACTCTATTACTCACAGTCCTTGGGTACACACCACATCTCTGTCACTGCAGCCTAAACAAGTCTGCTTTCTTGCACTGTCTAAAGACACTCTAATATTGCTTAGTTTAAATTACCCGTGGAAGCAATAAAATAAAATAAAAAAAGAAGAAATCTCTGGCTAACTGACCCTGTCCCCTGCATTCAGCTCCCTAAACTGTCCATCTGATTTTAATAGTTTTCCTTCCTTTATGTCATCCTCCATTTTAGATTAGTTATCTTCTGCAAACTCTCCTCTTGAGACGTCCTAATGTATGGGTCAAATCAAACTCAGATAAAAAACGAACAACAAATACTATTTTTTCTTAAGCTGGAAGTAAACTTGAGCAGTTACTCTGAAATTTCCCAAAGAGTTAAGTTTTAACTTCTGTTATACCAGAACAGGAACAACAAATACACTGGTGCTGTGAGACATTTTGCAATTTAAATTATCATGACTATGTCTTCAGCATTTAGATTTATAAAAGGCTCTCACCATTTTTCACTGTATCTTGTTTAACATCCTCCAGTTTAAATCTAACTCAAAACTGTAAAAAAATTAAGAACTATATTTCATACCAATACGCTTTCTTATAGAATTTTAAGTTATTTCAGTGACAGACATCCTGATGTATTTTGCATATCAGAATGCATTTAGACTTAATTTTATAATTAGAGCTTTTCCCTTAATGCCTTAATTTTCAAGATAGAATACTGTATAACTAAAATATTGAAATCATCTTACCTTTTATTATCTTTACTCAGATTATGAAAAATTTCATTAATAACTACAAGAAAGTTCTGCTTTAGCATACTGTACTGTTGTTTGCCACTATTCATCCATTTCCATAATATTCTGCCTAATCTCTCTACACTTTTGCTTCTGTAAATAATAAATATTTAGGACCTCTTATTTTTTTCAACTCAGTACAGCTACATAGTTATATGTTTGCAATTCACAGACACTGAGATCTGAATGTTGTTACTTAAGCAAAGACAACAGAGCTAAAACT